TATATATATGGTATTATGGTATATATATATAGTACATTTTAGATATAGTCTAACTAAAAACAGTGCAGTGAAAAAAATCTAGATATCTATTTTATTCAAACCAGCTCGCATCTAGAAAAGAGGAACTTGAAATACTGTGGAATATCATATAATAGGGAATGCATAATAATAAATTCTGACAAACTCACTAGCTAAGGCTTAGAGCTGCAGTCGGGAGTATCCGACTAGGAGACGCAATTCTAAGCTACAGACAGACAGACGGATCGACCTAACTGTTGGTTGACTCGACTCATTATCCTAACTCGAAATTCTATTTTGCGTTTCCCGCCTTTCTTCTACTACTCCATACACTAAACAGTCATTTTTAATAGTTTCAATCCATAAACAACTTCTATGAATAACGCTCATTACACAGAAATGAGTATGGGGTACTATAATGCAGCTATGCAACAATTATGCGATATATATAATCATACATATATATATTTACTTTCATGTAAATGAAATGCGATAATATTAAAAGACTCAAACTAGGGCAAGGCGCAACAGTATTGCCGGGAACAGCAGCCAAGGCAGAGCTGAAGCCACTAATATACATATACATATACATATATATTTATATATATTTGTATATCCCTAAAGTATTACGAAATGCCATCTGCCATCCGTCGGGTGTCCACTCGCATGGTCTGTCCCAATTGCCATTTGGAAATGATGACGCGCATAGTGAGCAAGGCCACATATCGAACTCATATGATAGCGCTCTTCATGTGCCTTACGTTGTAAGTGGATGTAATTAAACGAAAGCTTAGAGAGGGTATTCCAAAGAGAGAGAGAGTATCATCTATTTATATGCTTGCAGCCTGTGGCCCTGTGCCATCTGTCTCTACTGCACGGACTTTTCTCGCAGCGTGGATCATTATTGCTCCTTCTGCAATGCCTTCATTGGCACCTATGAATGAAACTATAGTATATACATGTATGTATATGTGAGCAGCTGTAGTATGTTGTATGTCAAATAAGCATATGTCCATTAGATATTGCATATACCCCACTTAAAGTAAGAGTATCATACTCATCCACATAGCAATCCTTTGCTGCTTTGTTTATACAATATCAACCGTAATACGATCGGTCACTTATGTATGGACTGGCCTGCAGCATGGGATCTGCAGCGTAAGCACTATTACGTTCTCGCCTTCTGCATGTACGTGCCTTCTGCATGTACATATAAACATAAATATACATACATACGACATGCTATATACTCCCGTTCTGCCGCTGCTGGTAGCGACAGAACTCTTTATATAAACATTATGTATTTAGGCTAAGACCATACTTTTTCAAATTTAATAAAGCGATTCGTAATGAAATATTTTCTTTCTACACAGATTTTAGCAACAATAAAGCAAAGAAATAAGAACAGATTAATGCTTTTGATACTGTAGAAATCTATGATAATTTAATATAATAATATAGTTAATATAGATAGGATGCATTATTACGCATGATTATGAAATAATTCTCAATCATTTATGAGTCATGAAAGCGGTGCATACAAAGCTTTCTGCGCCCTAAACCTATTATAATACCCGTTAAAAGCTCTGCTGGTGTTTACCCTAGCGTAAAAATCTCCATCACAAGAGTTGGCAACATGAATGTTCCAAACATGAGCTTTAGCAACATGCCGTTAGCTGAATACAACTTAAGTAGCAGCTATAGCGAAGCTAAGATGAACGTTGGCAACATGAGCTTTAGCAACATGTTAGCTGGATAGAATTGCAATAGCAACAACAGCGAAGCTAAGATGGCCGACAGGCGTTGTCTACATGAGCGATGCCAACATGTTAGATTGGATAAAATTGCTATAGCAATAAGAGCGCAGTTAAGATGAGCGTTGGCAACATGAGCTTTAGCAACATGAGCGCACCAGAATGCTGCTAATATACGCTTTGTTAGCATGAGCGCTGATCAAATGAGCTTTGGCAACACGCAAGCTGGATACAAAGTGCGCTGGCAACAAATGAGCTGGCACTTTTTGACTGCGTCAACATTGTTGCGAGAGCGCAGCGCACAAGCAAACGAGTCTGGAATGAAAGCTGTCTATCAATAGACCTGCGCACGGATAAACGCATCATGCACACGCAGAGTACGCCAGCCGCTGGAGGTGTTAACATGAACTATCAGTATGCACAGGCGCAACAGGTGCCGCCCAGCTACGCGCAGGCAACACAATTCCAGGTGCCAACGACCGCAAACGTAGTCATCATACAGCGTAAGTCTGGCACACGCACTTGACGGCTTCGATGTTTGAATGTTTGTCTAACGCACATGTGCAACACTTGCAGAACAAGCGCCGCCAGCTGTGGGACCCGATCCGTGCTACGTCTGTTGCCCCCATTGCCAGGTGCGGGGTCTCACGCGCATTGAGTATTCGCCCAGTGTGCGCACACATTGCATGGCCGCGCTGCTTTGCATAGTGGGGTAAGAAAAACAACATGATTTAACACCTTCCTCTCTCTCTCTCTCTCTCTCTCTCTATCTTATCTTGTCTCCAAAATTTTAACTTATCTCTAATCGTGGTGCAGACTCTGGTGCTTCGCCTGTTTGCCCTACTGTGCCACAAGCTGCATGAATGCGAATCACTTCTGCGGCAATTGCAACAAATTCGTGGGCGTCTATAGCAGCGATTAAGGCCAAAATGCTAAACAATAAACGTAAACAATTTCTCCATACAAACGAAATGCGAACATTTTTTGTTAGGTGTTGAGTGATGCAAACACAAACACACACATATACACTGACACAAACCCATGCACACACATACATATATCATATATGAAAAGCTACTCATTACCTGTAAGGTAAACAATCAGAGCAAAGCTTTCGGAAACCTACCACAGAAAGGTTTATTGTGATAAGAGCCGATTGGGTGCGTCGCGTTTTATGAAATTGACAGAAAATTTGTCATCGCTCAGTCATCGATACAGTTATTATGGAACGCGTCTATCCCAGCGAGCCGCTAGAGCAGCCCAAAGATGTGAGTGGCCTGGTGCAGGAGACGCATCCGGAGCACCAGAAACTGTTGGCCCCGCCCACCTACGATCAGGCAACGGGCACGGCAACGGCCACTCCCGCAGTGACAACGGGACCAGTACCGACGCCAGCACCACCACCACCCACCGGCTCAGCCACCCAGCACACGGTGATTATTTTGCCCGATTCGCCGTACGGACCGGAGCCGCAGGATGTGCAGTGTCCGTATTGCCATAACTATGCACGCACACGCATCTCCTACCGGCCCAATTCCCGCACGCATCTGATTGCCCTGGTGCTGTGCCTGCTACAGTGAGTACCAGCTATAGATAACACAATTGATATTTACTGATACCATTCTATTCGGATTGTGTAGACTCTATTGCTTCGTCTGCTTGCCCTACTGCATTTCGAGCTGTATGAATGCCAACCACTACTGTGGCATGTGTAACCGTTATCTGGGCACCTATTTGCGCAAGTGAGTTGCACCTGTGACGCCACTGTCTGCACCGTCGCGACGCGTCGGCCGGATGTGCAGCTCCAAAATTAACATTTATCTGCAGACCGAATTGGCTAAATTGGCTAAAAGTAAAGAATTATACGTGAGATACACACACACACACACACACATACACGTAGATATAGTTGATTATATATTCAGTAGTGCAGGTACACTGTTACCTGTGCACAGGTGTTTGTTTGTGTACCTTAGATAAATTGTTCAAATACATATGTAGTTAGTATCTTAATTTCGTGTTTTTCACTTTTGCAATCGCCACAAAAAAATTGCCAAAGTTTTCTTGTTTTTAGATGCATACCCTGTGGCTAGTGGAAGGCGAGTAGCTAGCGTATATATTTCATTGTTAGTCTGATTTTTGGGGATTAACGATTAGAGGTCTGTAATGTCTTCCAACAGATAGATTCAATGATAATATTTATAAATAAGCTATTAATTGACTAATTTGATATATAAAGTTATTTAAATTATGAAAAAGCAATTCTCTATGCTAATATTATTATACCGAGAGTTTCATTAAATTAAATATAGTTCAAAGACTTAAATCAATCAATTGGCGAACTTCCAATAAGAGTCTAATTAGAAGCGTTGCTTAAATTTAATATCAAGTATATATTTGTGTATATATATATACTGAACTGCTTAAAGGGTAGCACCTAGTCGCTCACTCTCCACACATGCATTTTCGGTACCTGTTCTTTGTTGTTGTTTTAGCTTTTAAGCTCGTTCGCTTGCTCACTCGCTCGCTCTCACCAGCAGCAGATCTCTGGCAGCTGATTCGGCTAGCGCTCAACCCAAATTCAGTCGCGTGTTGAAAGTGAAGCGCAAAAGTCATTCAGCGAGAGCTACGATCTAACGAGAGCGAGGGAGAGTGAGAGTGAGCGAGAGAGGTGGAGAGAGTCAAGCAGACAGCGAACGAAGTTTCGAGCCGTGGTTGACGCAGTTGTTGCTGCTGGTGCTGCTAGTATTACTGCTTCTGCCAATTAGCAAATCAAGCAAAGCTCTTGGAGCTGTGATTTGTCTAAATCTGATTCATACATATATAGATATATATATATACATACACATAGTTGGTAATTAAAGTTGAACTTCGCACCATGGATCAGAAGCGCGCCATGCTCTATCCCCAAGTGGATTTCAACACGCCCAGCGCTCCGCTGCCAACGCCAACAAATGAATCGACTGTGCCAACGATGGAGGCGCCGCCATCCTACGATGTGGCAATTTCAGCACAAACTCCAATTGTGATTGCACAGCCACATACACAACCGCAGCCAGCACTGCCACCACAACAACAACAACTACAGCAGCAGCCAGAACTATTAGAGCCCACAATAGTGCAAACAGGTAGAAGTCTGGATTTTACTTTTATAATTGCCAGCAATTAGCCAAACCTTATTTCAATGCAGCACCCACAAATTTGGGCCCAAATCCATGCCGCGTGCTGTGTCCCGCTTGTGGTGCACAGAAGACAACACGCATGACGCACACAGCCAATGCGAGGACTCACCTGGCCGCGGCGCTCATCTGTCTAGTGGGGTACGTGCAAATACACATACATACGTACATTCATATTAGTAATTGCATTAAAAACTAATCTTATTCGCCCTTGTGCAGCTGGTGTGTCTGTGCATGCTTTGTGCCCTATTGCATGAATAGCTGCCGCACAGGTAATCACTATTGCCGCAAGTGTAACACCTTTCTGGGCGCCTACGATCCGCAGGGCGTCAAATGATGCAGAGCAAACTCAACGGAAACTGATGAACGCAATAACTTAAGATAAGATAAGCGAAAGATGTTGATCTACATATATAAATAAGCAGTCGCTTAAGCCTCAAATGTCAGCTGTTTGTATTATAATAATATACCTACATACATATGTATTTAAGTCCAATATTCATGCATATAAATATATTGCGCATATGCACACATACATACATATGGATGTAGAAAGATGTGTTTATGTAAATTCGAATGTATGTGTGTGTGTTGTGTGTAGAAAACGAGTTGCGGTTGGTTGTCTACTCTTGACGGCCTTTTGGGCTCCATTTTTGCAAACTGTGTAGGCGTAACACTTGATTATTAAATATAACTATTAATAACTGCACACAGGAAAAATAAAACACAGTAGCCATCGAAAATCATGTCATCGTTTGTTTTGCTTAACTGCTTACGCGCCTTTATTTTCATTCAGTAAGGTTGCCGGACTGCCTTAGTGAACAGCATTTTACAGCACTCGGTTTTTTTTCGATAAGTTTCAACTTACATTTATTTTCTGATATCGTTTATGCAACTGTGAAATAATATAGACGTCGGAAATTTCGTAGTTGATTTTATTTCGTGCGGAACTGTGAAAGAATATAGACGTCGAAAATTTCTTTTTTTTTCTTTTTTTTTGAATAAAATATAAATATAATTTAAAATATATAAAAAAAAAAAGAAATAATCATGTTTGAGAAAAAAAAGCAAACTGAACATAAGCCGCGAGATGACGGGGTTGAATTGGAAAATCAGTTTATTATACGCTTTCCAAAGGTATGTTAATTGTTTTAGCTGCCTTTGAGGGCATCTCATTTATTCGAGTTATTTGTAGGAAGTGGCCGAAGGCATCCATGAAGCCATACAGACAGGCAATGTGAAGGATCGCCTATTTATAAAATTTGACCAGGATTTGCGCTATGGCGAAGTGCGCTTCGATGACCAAATGCTCTATGCAAAACTGGTCGACTTGCCCACTATTATGGAAAGCTACAAGACAATTGATAATAAAAGCTTCTACAAATCGGCGGACATATGTCAGTTGCTCATTTGCAAGGAAGAGCCGGAGGACGAGACTGAAAAGGAATCGCCCAACAAGAACAAGAAAAAGGATCCAAACAAGGTGGACAAAAAGTATTTGTGGCCCCATGGCATTACTCCACCTTGTAAAAATGTGCGTAAACGACGTTTTCGCAAAACTTTGAAAAAGAAGAATGTGGAGACTCCCGAAATCGAGAAGGAAGTGAAGCATCTATTGCGCATCGACAACGAGGCAGTGCGTGTCGAGTACGAGATTATCAATGAGGAGGACAAGCCGAACGATGACATGGACCCGTCCGATGTCAAGCCATACAACGAGGCAGACGATGATATACAGGAGGATACAATGAATGCCGGTGATAAGGGGGCTGATGAAGGCGCTTCACAGCGTGAAATTAATGTAGAATCGGATGATGATGAGGCTAGCAATTTCGAGACTAATCGTGCTCCCAATATGGGCGTCGCTGCACATGATATATTTGGCGAGGAGGTGTCCACTACAGATGACGAGGACGAGCCTACTTTGCCTGGGAATGATTCGCGTCTGGAAGAATCCTCGCGTTTATCTGCTGAAGACTCACGTATGTCTGATTTCTTTGGGGTAAGCGGTAATAGTCAGGGAGGGGGTGATAAACAGGGGCAAAATGAATTTACTAAGTCCATGTTCGCTAGGGAGCCAAGCAGTCCCAAGCTGAGTACCGCCGGCTCAAGTTCTAATCTGGCAGCTCCGTGCGCTTTCTATGAAAATCAGAAGATGATGAATAAACGGGAAGAATTTGAGAATTTAGGGTTTATGGATGATTCACATCCTCAATATACACAGCAGCAAATACAAGACAAAATAAATAACCTTAATCGACAGATCAGCGACCTAAGGGCGCAACAATCTCAAAAATCTATAGAAATAGGTTCAATTCAAAATGCTACACTGAAGCAGCGCATGCAAGAGACGCTGGATAATCTTTTTGCGCAGATCAAGGAGCGTGAACAGGAGCTTAAGAACTTAGAAAACATGATGGAGCAATAGACCTACCTGATAACTTTAATTATTTAATAATTAATTATTTAATATTTAGCATAAACTTAATTACAATATACAATATGTATTATGTGCCACACACAATACCGAAATAAATGTACACTTACATTTTACACTTACAATTGATTGGTCGCATTATAAATAAATATTGTGATATTCAAAATATTTTTAGGCAGTATAAAATTCATTCGAAAAGAAATAAAAAACAGAAAAACAAAAATTACTCAATTGCGATATTTATTCACATCGATTGCTTGCCGCCGATATATCGATAGTCGCTCGCGGTAGTTCAGCAACATTTTGTGTTTATTCTCGCGTCACATACGGCAACTCCGCAACAATTTTCTATTTGGCCAGAAGACAATTGCAGAAAGTTTTTCAACCTCGAAAATAGAAATTTTCAACAATAACAATAATTTGCCAATTGCACATTAATGGAGTAATTAAACATTGATATTCTGCACAATTGGCTAGCGAGCAGCGCTGCAGGGAACGTTTGCGAGCAATTTCTGCCACAGCAGCCACAACAAGAGCAGCAGCAGCAGCAGCAGCCGCAGCAGCACGAACAACATTTGCAAAAATTTTCGGCCAGCTGCATTTGTCATCTACATTTGGCCAGCGTCGAATTATTATGGACAAAAAATCATCGCCCGTGCGACGACAAAAGCGCCAAGCGAAAGTAATTGAGGAGAACTTCTGGGACTGTAGCGTCTGCACGTACAGGAACTCGGCGGAGGCGTTCAAGTGTCGCATGTGTGACGTGAGAAAAGGTGAGTGACCTCGATTCCAACAGCGGCGACAGCGCCAGCGACGTCAACGACAACGGCAACGGCAACTGCGACTGCGACTGAGGCAGCGACAGCACTGTCGAATGTTTGAATTACGTTGAAGGACGGCCGCTAAATGGGTCGCTCTGAGTGAATTGTGAAATGCTCAGGCACAGTATAAACATAATTTTTCTTTTCGATTGTACACACTTAACTGATATTCATATTTTCTTTGTTGTCTATTTCTTCCCTGGTATCTGGGACTGGGCTGACAGGCACATCGACGCGTAAGCCGCGCTTAAACTCTGCGCTAGTCGCTCAGCAAGCGGCCACATTGCCAGGCGCTAGTGGGAACATGCCGAATGGGAAGCCGGCGTCCAGTTCGCGACATGGCAGCGGACACGACAGGCAGCGACACAAACGCTATCCAGCCCGCTTGAAGAACGTTGATCGATCGACGGCGCAGACCCGTGAGGTGACCGTCAATTCGGTTACGGTTTTCATCACAGAATACAAGGCCAAGCCGGTGAGCAGTCGACGGGAGTCGAGTGAACAGAGCTTCAGTGAGAGCAACGATAGCCGGAGTTAGGTTTTAATTACATAAGCACGCAATTTGTGTTTTTATCCCAATTACGAAACTTTTCTTTATCTTCATGTATGCGAATCTGTATATGTATAAAGATAGTCTTTGTCGGTGTGGAGCCACAATTTCTCGTCCCCTTCCTCAAACACACACAGTCACACACACAAATCCAATGTCTAAGTGTACAACAAAACAAAAAATTGTAAATTCTAATATTAGGCCTAAGTACAATTGTAAATCTATATAGCCTGTTTCTCTAAGTTAGCAAGTATTAAGCGATATTCATGTTCTCTGTTAGAAACAGCAGCCGCAGCATCTAACAATGATGTTGATGATGATATTTATCCATGCATAAGAACTTCCACATGTATTCGGCTTTTCATAGCTGATGACTGCATTTAAACGGCTGCAACAATGTGAAATCGAGAACCTTGTATATATAGAAAAAGAAAACAAACACACACACACATAAACAAACAAACACAACTGTCTCGTATTGTAATATTTGATTCCTAATTTATTGATTTGTAAGCGCATCTTATACATACACCTAATTAGATACATATTTATATGTTCTGCAAATCTATTGTTTATATGTAAGTGTCAAATGGAAAACAAAAATATAATTTGATTAAGTGCAAGTGCGAAAATGTTCTCTATGTAAACAACTCAAYTACCCAATGAATGGGGCAGACAAAACGACGTCGCTCTACGTAACTACATAATATACATACACACACATATATATATATGTTTGTATAGTAATATGAATACCTGATTCTCAAATTCTGTGTACGATATGTAGGTTGCAGTCAGATCAAATAACCAAGTTCAATGCGTCTTTATTAAATGTTTTGTGTTTTCATTCGACTTGTTATGTATTATTAATCTATACTAACAATAACAAACGACAAACCGACCTATATATATTTTTGAATGCTGCACGACAACGAAACAAGTGAATAATATTTAGTGAATTTGCTGATTTAAATCAATGATTTTTTTGAATTTTGTTCTTTTTGTATACAAGACTGATTAAGCAAATACCTAAAGACCATATAACAAATACTTATATATATTCATACATATGTACTATGATATGTATAACGATAGCCCGCACCGATTCACAGTTCAGTTGGCATACAGAAACAATAGTTGCAATAATAACAACAATTTCTTTTTATACCAGCCAAAGTTTACTAGCTTGGCCACATAAATATATACACTTATATATACATATATATATAGATACGGAATATTAGCTGAAACAATGAAATTTTGATATACTTTTTAGCAATGGATAAATGGTTTAGATATGCATGTTTCAAATGATATCTTCGTTTTGTTTTGTGTATTTTTTTTTAAGGTTTTACTACACACACTCCCGAACACACATACTCGCACACACACACAGCCGTACAGCAAGTTGTTCAGGTCTTTAAGTTGGCAAAAGCTTTGCAGCGAAAAGCTCATTCAAAACTGCCCGACTGAGTAACATAGTCAAAAAATAAAGAAATAAAACTTCCAAGAACAGCTTACAACAAATTTGTATTAAGTATTTAAAGTTCATAGTTTATATACTTAGCAAAAGAATGAATAAAACAATATATATTGTATATTATATATGAATATTTAATTAAATCAAGGCTAGCAAACAAATACAACAAGCACACACACACGAGAATATGTTTAAACTTGTGTAAAGCGCAAAAAAAAAAAAAAAAAAAAAAAAAACAGAGTTTTAAATAAATTTCAAAAATTACACACTTTAAAAAATTGTCTTTAAAGAGAAGGAACGTCCCTACGCCAACTTCTCATACACACACATAAACAATGTATATGCTGTGTGTGTGTGTGTGCGTTGGTCTCATCTGTAACTGTTCTTCCTCTTCTGCTTACGCGTGTGGCCTGCCTGCCTGCCTGCCTGACTGCTTGCTCGCTTGCTGCTCCTGCCTTCCTCTCTCGCGCGCGCTCTCCCCGTCTCCCTCTCACTTCCACTCTGGCTACGCCTTTGGCAGCTGCCTCAACTTTCGCACGCTTCGCAAATAAATTACAAATTGTTTCGTTCCAGCGTGGCTGCCGCTGCCGCTGCTGCTGCTGCTGCTGCTGCCTTGCATTGCTACTACTTACACACTACCACGCCCCAGCCCCCCCTTTAGCCGTCCTCTGCTCACTTCTATTGCCCTCGCCCTCCCCCCACACCGACCACCACCTCACCAATTCGTTTCAGTCGACGAGCTGACATTCGAAAATTCGCTTTTCGTTCGCTTTTCTCTAAAATGTTAAAATTCACAAGTCCTCCACACGCAGGCACAACTGTGCCTGTCCGCCTGCCTGTCCCGCTGTCCGTCCGTCTGTCTGTCTGTCCGTCTTTCTGTCTCCCTCTCTGTCTGTCCTTCCGTCTGTCTATTGCTGCCTGCCCCAGGCCCCAGCTCCCTCTGCTCGGCTAGCGCACACAACTTGCCTTATCAGCGTCGCTCTGTGCGCTTATCTTCTGCATGTACGTTGTACGTTCTCTACTTCTCTCCTCGCCTACTCACTCCACCCTGCTCATCTCATCTCTCCACTCTTCGCTTCGTTTCGTTCTTTGCCTGGCCTGCTCCTTTTGCCTTCTTATCCGTTTGTTTGTCCGTGCTTCCGACTCGTCTGTGCGACCGTTCGCACATCCTGCTCCATTCTAGCTGCCGTCACACCCCCCGCCCGCCTTCCTTGCTCCCTGCTAGCCTTCCTTTGTTACACTTGCTCTACTGTCTGTGTGCGTGTGCGGGTGTCTGCCTGTGTATGTGCATGTGTATGTGTCTGTGTGTTTGTGTGTGTGCGTATTTGTGTCGTAGTCAGCAACAAAAATGTGCAGCATTTGGAAAATGTTGCCGAAGTCTGTGCGTTTCTTTTTTCTCGCCCTTTCTTTTGACATGACGCATACGCCGCATTGACCAGCAGCTAAAAACAACACCCAGCGCGATCATCAAGCTGGACAGTCTGCAAATTTATATCTATACATATCAATATATATTTGTATATACATTTATATGTTAATATATATTACGTATACAGCTGCGTTCATTAAAATAGTAGTGCTGCACTATACAAAACATAGACTAAATTAATAGGATTTTTTTCGATGGAATTTAAATAGATGACTAATTTTAATTTAGCATAAAACCTGAAGAAGAGAATTACAGAAAATTTCGGATACTTTCACGTAGAATAACTACACTTTATCAAGCTTTTACCGAAATGCATTGAAAATAGGTTGTTCCTAGAAATTTTAATGGAGTCTATGAGAATTTTAAATAGGTAAATGAAAATAGTAAATTTCCAAAAAATAAAAAAAAAAAATTATCCAGAAAAGGTGAGATTTATAATGTAATATTTTAATGATTGAAGTGAATTAGAATTACAATATTTTTTGGTTTTACTCGTAAAAACACAAA